GATCCAGAACCACTGAGTTAATGAGACAAAATAAAACCTTCCTCCAAAAACTGTTTCCTAAGGTGTTTGTCACATGATAAAACTACCCCGGAAAGGTAGGCGTGGGTGCTCAAACCCTGTTCACCAGTACAGCTGGATTGTGGCCCTCACGCTGCGACCCTCACAATGCTTCATGAGGAAGCTCATACTTCCCTGAGTTACCAGGGACATTCCCACAGACGTGCCACCTCTGCTTGCTTCTGGGGTGCTGCATCAGGAGCCTGAGGAAGCTAGCAATCAGCTTCCGTTCCTCTCAGTCCAGTGGGGAGGGGCCTGCAACAGGGGAGGGCAGGGGCTCTTCCCACCCACGGCACTAATCTGCCTCTACCATGTGACCTCCTTGTCACTCAGGTCTTCGGGCACCCGCTTGCAGGAGAAGTTGCCCCAGACACTCCTGTCCGAGCATGAATCAGGACTTCTAAATGAAGGCACGGGCAGTCTCAAGTGGATTTGAATTTTGTGAAATACTGTCTTAGAATCTGCATCTTAAGTGACCAAACCTGTGGGAGGCTTTGGGCCCAGGGTCCCCCACCCTCACCACAGTCCTCAACTCTACTCCATAGTGCCTCTTCTAGGAAGGTTTTCCGGGCCATTCCCCACCTGCTCTAGATCCCTCCCCGAAACTGCTCAGAACTTTGGACTTCTGATATGTCTTAGAATAGATTGTTCCCTGGGCCTACGTCCCCCCTCTGCGTGATGGTTCCTCAGAGGCAGAGACCATGGCACACTTAGATCTGTGGCTCATCCTGCAGAACTGGGCCTCCACATTGCAAGCCCTCTATAAATATCTGCTGACTGAGTAGAGGATGAACACACAGATACCTGAAATCCCTGTGCTGGGCTTGGAGGAAAAGGACACCCACACGCTGTCACACTTATTGCCCAATCCCGGCCTAGGACATGGTAAGCCCGTGAAGCATCACCAAGACATGGAACAGAGACACAAAGGACGCGACTTAGCCCTGCCTCCTCTTCTCTCCTGAGGACAGGCCCAACTCCAAATGTCTTGTATGACTTCTTAGGGCTGTGGACAGCCCCCTGGTTCCACATGGCCCTCAACTGCTTCCATGGCACTGGCTGCAACATCAAGTTTGCAGGCTCATTTGAGAGTGCCCAGGATCACTGCATTGACTTTCTCTCATTAACAGAACCATCAGGGAGGACAGACAGGAAGGAGTGGGTCCTGGCCCCGGGGGGTGGGATGGGGGTGGGGGGAGAATGGGGGGGAGGGAGACACAGACAACTCCATACTCCTCCCACAGTAAGAATGCCTGATGGTCAGCCCCAGAAAAAGCAGCACTCAGGCCCCAGTTGTCTGTCTGACTGGCCAGCAGGGATGCCGACAAGGGACAATCCAGTGATGATGATGCTGCTGCCTCCACACATCCATCACTTTGAGTGGGTGGGTCGTCTTCCCTGGCTCTTAAACGTTGGCATCCCCAGTCACATGGAGGATGAGTAAGAAAGATTAAGGAATAGGTCCTGGTGGGTGTGTGTGAAAGCAGAGACAAGCCGACTTGGGGTTGGTTCATGGCTAAAAGGCGTCTCCAGATGGGCATCTCCTACAGGTTCATTATTTTCAGAGGCTCAGAAGCCCTGAGACAGGTATACCCTGATGAGTGCTCGCAGACCTCCAAGTCTCCGCCTTCTCCCTCTTCACACCGGCACCAACCTGCCAGCAGTCCCACAAGGGTTAACTGTCCCCGACAGGGCTGCCAGCTGATTGCTATCAGCTGGCAGTAACAAGCTGGGCTAGACCCAGAACCACAGACAGACAAACTGCCAGTGTTTCCCACAGCTCTTTCCACTCTCTCCCCTGCCTCAGGCTGTTTGCCTACCAACCGGCTCTCATCCCTCACACACCTCATCAGACTGGGAACCAGGGGAGGCGTTCACCAGATCACTTCACTCTTTACCAAAGCAGAGCCAAAGTAAATACCTGATAAATACGGCCCATGAATGGCTGAGTGAATGCCCTGGAAATGGGGGGACCAGTGAAGGCCCACTCCTATGCTGTGGTGACTGGGGCAGGGTGGCCGCGGATGCTGACCCCATGGAGAGTCTTGAGGACAGAGCGAGAAGGCCCTGCTCTGAAGGCCACTGGATGACGACTCACTGTGGCACTGCAGCTGGGATCCCCAGAACCACAGGGCAGGCCCAGCAGGAGCCTGGCAAAATGAGGTTTCCCTGAGGTTCTCTGTGCACCCGTCCCCTCCTTCTCCGCTGGCTGCAGTCAGCCAGTTCCCAAAAGATACATTTCCTACTTCCTACAAATGTAACACTTGTCCATTAGTTTAACATTGGGCAAAGGTCCTCAGGAGGCTCAGAAAACTGAGGATCATAAGGCAACAACTCGTGATTGGACCGAACAAGTGCTTTATTTTGGTAGTTTTGTTGAGATAGGGTCTCATGTATCCTAGGCTGGCCTCAAACTTGCTATGTAGTTAAGGCTCACCTTAAGGTCCTGATCATCTTGTCTCTATTTCTAGAGTGCTCAGACTTTTATAGGTGTGCCTGGGTCTGGACTTGGGGTTTTCAAATATTTAATCATTACAACCAACACATGGAGACAGAGCTTTGGGGGTTAAGCCAACAGTGTGAAGGGTTTCCTGCTTGTTTTGTGTTACCCTCCACACTGCAGACAGGGCTCCCTCACTCCTTGGGTTCGTAAGTGGTATGTGCTCCTATTCTGAGGCAGGAAAAGAGGAAGTGAGCAGAATATTCAACCACACGGGCCTCAGCTTTCCCACCTCGTCCCCCTTGAGGCTGGTCAAAGGGCCACATTTGCATCAGGCTGTGCATCCTTCCCAGGTGTTCATGGGAAAGTAAGCTCTTTAGCCTTGTTTCCCAGGGTCCCCAGGCATGGTGATGACCCCCCAACTCTCTAAGGCAGAAAGCACCCTGGACCCCTAGGTTTGTCCCTCACTCTAGAGACCACAAACAGCTATCGTTCCTCTCCAGGTCACTCCTCATCACCTCCTGCTGTGCCCACTACTGCCAGGTTCAAATCATTTCCCCAGGTGGGTTGTCTACCCGGGCTTATTCCTTCCTCCTTTCTGTGGTGTCTTTCAGACCTTTCCATGGGCACCTTACGAGGGTTACAGCCTTCAGAATCTGACCCTGTCTCTCTCAGCCCTGCCCATCAACTCTGACCACACACGTTAAATAGGCCATGCACACACTGCTCCTCAGGGCGCCCAGTCCATCCCTCTAGGCTACGTTCACAAGTCTCTCTAGGCCTACAGAGCCCAGCGTAGTATCACCACCACAATCCCAAAGCTTACCTAGGATCTGGTTCTCAAAGTCAGCCAGCCACACCAGCCAAGGGAGTCTAGAAAACCCAGGCTGAGGTTAGACCTTTCCTGAGACCCTCTAGAAGGCAGGAGGCTGCAATCTAGGGACAACCTGATGTGAGAGTCAGTAAGGTGTCCACTTCAGGCCTCTGACCCCCTGATGAAACTATTCAGGCTCTTGCTTTTGACTTACCCAGGACCTCCATAATAATTTCCTATCATGTGCCAATCTCCCGAGACTGGCATCTCTAAGACACCATCATCTTCCTCTGTATGCCCCATGGCCAACTAGATCAGACCTGTTCCCATGGCTTCTACTCTAGGAACATCCTAAAGTTTCACAGTGTGTACTCTTATCAGCAAGCATTGGGGCCCCTCAACCCAAATACATTTATTTATTCATACATACAAAGCCTTGGTGCTGATCTGCATATTAATGCTAGGGGATAAATTGAACCTCCTCTCCCAAAATTTGCATGTTCTGTCCCCCCAGGACCTCAGAATGTGACTGCATTTAGAGAAAGCCTTGACAGATCTAATTAAATTAAAATAAGGTCATTAGAATGGACTTGAATGCCATGATTCCTGTCCTTGTATGAAAAAGAAACACTTGGAAACAGATACATGGAGGAGGAGCCTATGAAGACAGAAGCCATCCAAAAACAGAGAAGAGAGCAGCCACAGAGGAAATGGACCCTGAAGATATGGCTTCATCTTGAACTCATCGCCTACAGATTATGAGACACTAACAGACTATGTTTCTGTTGTTCAAGCCACCACGTCTATGGTACTTTGCTTTAGCAAACCACATACAGCAAGACTTAATTTCCAAATGAGTATCAATGGGCCATTCTAACGTTTTCTTCTCAAAACCCCGCTTTAGAGGCTACTATCTCAGGCAGGTACGCGGCACTTAGGTTTAGCTGGGTTTTAGAGTTCAGGCCACATGCAAAACATGCAAGCCAGAGGAAACGAGGAAGGAGTTTGGGACCTCTGCACAGCTCTCCTGTGAGCCTGAGCTACAGGGAAGCAATCTGAGGAGCAGAAGCCCCCAGCACCAAAAGGGACAGATCTGTCATACAACAACCCTTGGAAATGGACTCCTTTGGACTTCCAATCCTAAGGATTGCCCAGTGTCCGTAGGCCCCACTCGAGGAGTTAAGCTGCGGGTACAGAACTTGTTTTTAAGTGAGCCAGGTGGTTCTCAGAACCAGATGCATTTGAGAAACCATAGCCAGGCCAGCCGCCACCAGGAGGCGGGTTTGTCCCTGGACTGCGAGCGTACACAAGGCCTGCGCATCCCCATGGCATAGGGAGGGAGAGGCCAGTGGTCCGTGCTGCATCCTGGCCGGGCACCTCCAGCCTAGCGGATCACTCCTGCCCGCCCTCAGCTGAAGGCAACCAGAGCCAGCTGCTCCTGTCGCTGCTGTGTGTGTCCATCTATGTGTCACGCCCTGCGCTAGTTCTTTAAATCAACAAGCGAGTGAAAGAAGCGCCTTCTGTTTCCCAGTAACTTTGCGGAGTCCTGGACGCCCTGTTTTTTACTCCTGGGTGTGGCCCGCCCCAGACTCTTCTCTGATGCCGCCGAGCTCTCACAAGAAGCCCAGGTATGCCCCTCCCCCCAGCGCCCCCTCCGAAGCCCACAGCCCTCCATCCAACCAGGCTCACCCAGGCCGGCAGGTGCTGACCCCGCAGCTCGCGGCTGATGAACTCGCGCTCGTGCTCTAGGAATTCGAAGGCGGCCTCCAGACGCCCCAGCTTCCCGCGGCGGTTCCGGCGCCACCACATCCAGAGCAGGGCGCCAAGCAGCAGCCAGGTGACGCTGAGCCCCAGGTAGCCTGCCAGGTAGACCGGCGCCAGGTAGAAGAGCACGCGCGCCACGAAGCCGTAGAGCTCCGGCAGCAGCTGGCCCGACAGGCGCAGCTCTGGGTTCCGTGCCCGCTGACCTCTCTGCCGGGCGTCGGGGCTGCGGGGAGCCCTCGGGGCGCAGGGCTCCTCCGCCTGCATCTCGCGGACGCCGGCTTGCCCTCTCCAGAAGCTTCACCCCAGCTCAGGTTGGAGCACTCCTATGCTTGGGCACATCTGTCCTCACCGCAGGAGGACTCCGCCGCGCGCCGCTCCTGCTCTGCCAGCCTCTCTGCGCTCGGAGCTCGGGTTCTCCCCGGCCCTGGACAGCTGAGTCTGGGAATAAGGCCAGCTGGGTGGAGCTGTAGCAACCTGGGAAATCCGGAAGTCTCCGCCACCAGGGGCGGGCCCAGGTGAAAGGGGGCGTGATCATCTTGATGTGGCTTTGAGGGCACCCTGGGATCCCAAAGTTTGTCATAGATATCAACAGTAGGGGTGCAGCTGCCATTTGGGATGGGCTAAATGCTGCTCTACGAATGGGCCCAACTGGCTTACCATGGATAAACATCACCTAAAAACTGTTCCATAAACACAGTATTATCTGGACTTGTCCCTGGGTATTACAGACCCTTCACAAACCAGGTCATCACCAGGGTGGACCTAACTCTGAGTCTGGGACCTCCAGCTGGTCTTCAGAGTCTGCGATGCCGCTCTCTTAAGCTATCTGTTAAGCCTGGACTCAGCCTCCAGCTCAGTCAAGCTGAACTTGGGACCCTCCTGTACCCCTCATCCTCAGCACCACTTTCGAAACCCTCTCTAAAGGGGAGTCAGTCAGTCTGGGTCACCATTCCCGGCACCCAGAGCTTCCAGGAGCCTGACCATCTTCACTCATAAGTCATTCTCTCTCGGTGCACCCAAAGAAGGCAAGTAACCCGTGAGTGGAAAAAGAAAGAGGAAGCAAGCCCTGAGGTGCTTGGGAATCAGTGCAGCCCACAGCTTCCTCGTGTCTGAACTATCAGACCAAGAGGAGCCTGGATCCCTAGGTTCAGACAGTGAGTCACCTTGTGGATGGCACACATCGTAGGCCATACAAGAGATCATGGCAACGACCAGATGGTGAGACAGAAGTGACAGCAGTACAGGCTTGATCTGAAGTAATCTCCTTCTCTTTGGAGATTGAAAGGCTCAGCCCAATGAACCATCAAAAGATGACGGCGTTCTCTTTCTTGAACCTCCCCACCTCTCTTCCCTTCCTCCTCCCTCTGGATAAAATGACTTGCTGCAAGGGGTCGTAGAGATGGCCCCTTGGTTAAGAGCATTTACGGCTTAGGCAGAAGACCCTAGTTCAGTTACCAGCACCCACAACAGGCTCACCAAGTTCATATAACTCCAGCTCCAAGGGATGGCCTCACTTGCTCCTGCATTCATGCGCACACCGACACAAACATACACATAATTTAAAATTAAAAATAAATCTCAAAAGAGGTATTTGTTGCAGTAAGGTGTTACACCAAAGGGTGTGTTCCTGGAGGTAAACATACCCAGATCCTCCTCTTCCCTTCTTGGCCTTCCTGGCCCCAGACTGCTCTGGAAACCAACAAAAATTCTGCTCCTTCTAGTGCCTTTGAAAAGCCAACTATATTCAAACCTTATTAAAGTTTCTGAGAGTCTTACAGATAAAGGCTGCTGAACACAATGTCCCCCAGTGTTTCTCCAATTATTTACTGCAGAACCCATTGTCATGACATGTCTCTTTTGGTTGGTCCAGGTCAACAGAAGCTAAAGACATGAGGATATGTATTAAGGATATAGAGCTGTCTCCAAGAACTTGAGGTAGAAGGAACTCACAGAATTCATAGATTGGGAAATTACCTGCCAGCACTCTGCTCCTCACCCTGTAGAACACTGCACTCCCCAGTGTCCAGCTCCTCACCCCTGTAGAACACTGCACTCCCCCAGTGTCCAGCTCCTCACCCCTGTAGAACACTGCACTCCCCCAGTGTCCAGCTCCTCACCCCTATAATACACTGCACTCCCCCAGTGTCCAGCTCCTCACCCCTGTAGAACACTGCACTCCCAGTGTCCAGCTCCTCACCCCTGTAGAACACTGCACTCCCAGTGTCCAGCTCCTCACCCCTGTAGAACACTGCACCTCCCCCAGTGTCCAGCTCCTCACCCCTGTAGAACACTCTGCCTTCCCCAGTGTCCAGCTCCTCACCCCTGTAGAACACTGCACTCCCCGTGTCCAGCTCCTCACCCCTGTAGAACACTCTGCCTTCCTCAGTGTCCAGCACTGTAGGCAGAGGTCCAGAAACAGTGCCCAGTCCTGCTTAGACCGCCGAAATCCTCAGGGAAAGGATGCACTGCCATTCCCGACCCCCTTTGCTTTCCATGCTGGCCAGGCCCGTGCTGTTCCACCTGGCTTAGCATGTCTACAGAGAGTGTGGGAGGGCACACACATGAGGGAGGCTTGCGGTTGGAAGAAGTATTGGTTGTGTGTGGAATGGACACTCACCAAGACAGGTGTCCAAGGGGAGGCCTGTGGACATCCTTTGGGATGCCACTGCCATCTGCATTCTTCTCTCTGTTCCTGAAGACACTAAGTTCATCCTACACCAAAGCTTTCGGATTCCTCTCCCCAGAATGGCCGCCTCCTGAGTCTTCCATACAGTATGTTAGAGTGGTGAGAATGTTAGTAGACTTCTTTTTCTTGTCTACTAAACCCTGTTTATGATGCCAATAAATTACTTTCATAAGCTAACTATATGAGACAATTGAGAATATTGCATCTAAAATCTTATCTCCCCCTGCCCACCCTGGGTCAAGTCTGTGCTGAGAACATGGCTGATGTTCCTTCTCTTCACCTGGATCTAGTTACAGTGTCCCACGAAGGCCTTCTGGGGATTGGTCACAGCACACTCCAGGGAGAATCATACCTTCCAGAGCTTGTGCCTGTGCTCATTTGAGAGACCATCACACTATCCACCGGCTCCTCAGAAAACAGCAGCATAAATGGTAATTGGCTATTGTTATAGCTGAGGTGTGGCCTCCCAAAGACTAAAGACCTAACCCTGGGTGAGGGGAATGTTCCTACTTGGAAATAACCATTATACTGAAATCAAGTCAGAATCAGGCCAGCATATGGTAAACTCTAAATCCAATGACTAGTACCTTTTTTTTTTTTTTTTTGGTTTTTCGAGACAGGGTTTCTCTGTGTAGCTTTGCACCTTTCCTGGAACTCACTTGGTAGACCAGGCTGGCCTCGAACTCACAGAGATTCGCCTGCCTCTGCCTCCCGAGTGCTGGGATTAAAGGCGTGCGCCACCACTGCCCAGCAACTAGTACCCTTTTAATAACAGGGAAATTTGGTGATGGGAACGAGACTCAGTCAATAAAGTGCCTACTGTATAGACATGAAGACCTGAGTAGATTCTCAGCATTTATGTAAAAACATAGGCACACGCAAAAGATGTCTATAACCTTATTGCAGGTAGGCAGAGACAGGTAGGTCCTTGAAGCTCAGCCAGCCTAGCCAAAATCAGGAGGGAGGGCCAGGAACAGCAGCACATACCTTTAATCCCAGCATTCCAGAGGCAGAAGCAGGCAGATCTCTGTGAGTTCAGAGCCAGCCTGGTTTATATAGTGAGTTCCAGACCAGCAGTGCTATATAATGAGGCCCTGTCCCAAAATAAATAAATAAATAGACAGACAGACAGACAGACAGATAGATAAGGTGGAAAGTGATCAATGAAAACAACTCGACTTTTTGCTTCACAGGCACACATGCACAGGTACACACACACAAACAATTACACACACACACCACACACCAGGGAAATTTGTGCATAGAGACACAAAGGAAATATTGAAAGGGAAGCCACACAGAGACTAAGGTTAGGCTGGAGTGATGCAGTTAACAAACCAAGGAACAGATGCTGTCAGCACAACACAAGATAAAAAGCGGAGAACGAGACCCTGGTCCCAGGCTACCAGGGTCTTACAACAATATTTAAGGCACCTAAATTGTGTAACTTTGCAGCACAGTCCTCTGAAAAGGGCACAGCCACTTACCAGCTGCCAGGGACTGGTCCAGGCACGGGAGGTTCTGGATGAATGGGATGGAGAAGATGCTGTCCCTGATAGATGACCCACAGTAAATATGAGTAAGGGAAAGGACAGTGAAGCCTGGGTGTGAGCTAGAGAAGCTGGAACAGAGAGCTGCTTTAGCCAGACTGACTTGGAAACGGTTCCTCTTAGAGCTAGCATTTGAGTTGAGAACTAAACACGAAATATGAGTAAATGTGTACATGCAAGCCCGTCATTTAAAAACCTTCAGTGTCTTATCAAATTGTCTCTCCACTGGAACATGAAAATAAACATCCCCTGTCATGTGTGTGTGTCCTTAGTTTTGCATCCTACACGGGCCTGCTTCTTTGTGGTGTCCTTACGGTCAGACCAGGCCTCCTTGAGGACTGTCGTGTCTTGGTGCCAGGGTATCAGCTTAACTCCAGAGCCAGCTGGGGAAGAAGGGTCTGGACGTGCAGGGCTAAGTCCGAGTTCCGGCGCTTCCGGACTCTGGGCCTGTGGAAAAGATCCATGATTCTTGGCTGCTCTGCTTCCTCATCCTTTACGTGGGAATGATTGTAAAGCTTGAGTCACAGGGTGGCTGTACTGCCGAGAAGCCGCGCTGTAAGTAAAGCGTGCTGGGCCTACGGCACAGCTGGGGAAGTTGGCAGGGGAAACTTACTTTGTCTGAACTGTTTGGCTTTTGAAACAGGAATGCATTTGTGTACACTTTTCCACAGTTTTTAAATTGAGTTAAAAATGCACAGAATACAATATTTACTCATTCAATCACTTTTACATGTTCTGTTTGAGAGAGTCTCCTGTAGTTCCGTCTGGCCTTGAACTCCCTTTGTAGCTGAAGGTGACCTTGAATTCCTGATCCTTCTGCTTTTACCTCTGATGACTGGATCCCAGGCGTGCACCACCACAATCAACTTATGCTGTGCTTCCGAGTGGGGGATGAGGGTGGGGGTAGGGGAGGGGGACAGAGGGGTCAAACCTAGGCCTATGACCCACATCCTCAGCCTTTACGTGGCTTCACCTGGTATACAGAGCTCTTGCACTGTGGTTCAGTCATCAGCATATCCAGTCTCCACGACTCTTATCATCTTGTAAACCTAAACCAATTATACCCATTACAAAAATGAATCCTCATCCACCCCATTGCCCAGATCCTGGTGTCAACAACTTTCTGTCTTTGGGACTCTCAATGAGCTAGGTGCCCTGTACTAAGAGAACGCTTTCTCTCTTC